TCTTCGTATACATTATAGTAATCCAAAGCAAAAATATTATGTTTTGAGAATCATAGAAATGATCAACTAAGAAAACTCATGAAATTCAGTACTTTGCATTTTTTTTCTAGAGTTAGATTATATCCTACTGGGGTTATCCAAGTGAAGAATATGAGGTTGTGACTGAAGATGGTTACATCCTCCCAATTAACCATATTTCTTATGGAAAGAGTAATCTGAGTAATTCAGGTAAGATTCAAGTGAGAGAAAAATGCACTGAGCTAAATATAATTTATCCAGGGTTTCGTAAGGCTACTTCTAAACTAAGTGGCTAAGAGCTCCCTGAGTCCATTATGTAAAGAGGTACTAAGCGACACCTGTATGGTGAGAAAGGTGGGTATAGTCTGCCTCGGAATTTAGCTGTCTGAAATGAAGGAGGGAAAACTGCACTCGGCACACTGATTCTGTAGGTTAATATGGTTGGAGAGAGAAAGTTCTCCCTAGACTAATGTATTTGAATCCTTGGTGTCACATACTGATGTTCTTTGGGGAACTTTAGGTAGGGCACCTTTGCTGGAGGAAGTGCATAGTATGGGGCAGGCTTTAGATGAAATGTATCAAGGCCTCTAACTTCTCTCTCTCTGCTCATGCTTGTGTTGGAAGATGTTAGCTTTTAGCTTTTTGTTCCTATAACCATTCCTGCTCATTGCTGCACTACCTCCATGCCATAATGGATATTTATCTCTCTGGAAATATAAACCTAAATTAACGTTTTCCTCTACAAGTTACCTTGCTCATGGTATTTTATCAAAGCAACAGAAAAATAATTAATACAGGTGCTTTAGCATTATGATAGTATTATCATTACTGTTTCTGAGGACAGAGGAAAGCTGTTCTACTCTGTGTCTAGGTCTTGATTCTCAGACTGACTATACAAATACTGAACAAGTTCAAGGATCTCCCCCCTTAGCAATCTGCTTAGTAATGTTTTGGGTCTAGAATATTCCTAATTACATATATTTCTCATGATACTAAAGTTTCATGAGATAAAAACTCCTTATCAGAAAAGAACATAACTGTGAAATTCTAGGAATAAAATATATTCAGTAGTGTATTTCTGTAAGAGTAAAATAGAGCAGGAGAAGGCCATGATCTTACAGGTGCCACAATTCTTTTGTCATGAAGAATATGGACTAGTGTTTCCTAACATGACAAGAGGTGTAATAAAGTCTTAACTCACCTCTTTGAGTTACATGTCAATTGACTTCAGCTGTACAATGAAGATTTCAAAATTCCATTGTAAAATATCTTCTGGGAGTGAGAGTAGGCAAACAGAAGGTAATGCGATTTATATGAGCAAATTATATTTTCTAAATTTGAAAATGTCATAGTTCACCCATGGGTTAACACACTCAAATAATGGTGGTGGTAACAAAAATATCATTAGGGGCTTGAAGATGACTCACTCATTACTTAAGAGCACTGACTATTTTTCCAGATTCAATTCTGAGTACCTACACGGCAGATCACAACTATTTGTAACTCTCCATGTAGGGGATCCAACACCCTCTTCTGTCAGCTATGGGCACCTGGTACAAATGTGGAACATAGGCAAACATACAGGCAAAACACCAATACACATAAATTTAACTAAGCTACTTAATAATAGTAATAATCATAATAATAATAGTAGTACTATTACTACTATTACAAGTAGTAACAGCCATACTTTCAGCACCAAAGCCAGTAGTTTACTTGCAACATGGATGGACATTAACTTCTGGCATCTGGGTTGCCAACCTTCCTAGCAACAGTATGGACTTCCTGCTGGCAGATGCTGGTTATGATGTGTGGATGGGAAATAGCAGAGGCAATATCTATGCCAGGAAACATGTGTACATGAACCCTAATTTTAAAGAATTCTGGGCATTTAGGAAGGAAGAGATACTTGGTGGAGTGTGTTATTCCCAACAGCTGTGCTCATGTATTAGTTTAGTTTTATTTATGTATGTGAAGTGCCCTTGGAAACCAGAGGTTGATCAATTATCTCCCTTAAGTGATTGTCATCATATTTTTGGACACATGGTCTCTCACTGAGCCTGGAGTGTCCCAATTCAGTGGACCACTCGGCCAGTAAGCTCCAAGGAGTCTCCTTAATCTACCTCCCCAATGCAGGGATTTCCCACTGCTACCACTGGATCAACTTTTATTGTTAACTGGGTTCTGGGCATCAAGGTTCTGTGTTTCCATGGAAAACATTGTACTAACTGGAAAATCTCCCCAGCTAAATGTGTTGAAGATTTTTGATGTTAACATAAATTCCTTGAACTAGAATGGAAACTTCCTTAACATGTCTAATTGGTAGAAAATTTAGTTGAATTGATTCCTGATATATCAATCCTTCAATATTCAGATCTTTTTGGCAGATTTACTGATTTCCTGTAAAAGTTTAGATTATGCTTCTTATTTACATTATGGAAATATTGAATGTTTGTAATGTCAAAGAAATTTGACTGTAGAAAAAACACGCTTTGAAATTTAGCTGAAAATTTATCTGGCTATGGCCATAGCAAGTTTTCTCAGCTCCATGCCATCTTCAGAATCATAGGAACATAACAGGTATTTTGAGAGCACTGAATGAACTGGCAGTCTCAAGCAGGGACATAGGTAGTATCTGATCAATGTTCTCTTAGTACCCAGAACTCACTCCCTAATACTTCCTAAGGTCATAATATAAAACACACTGTAAATTCTAATTACTCATAAATAATTAAGGTTTTTGGTGTACTTTTAATGCAGTTTTGACGAAATGATAAAATATGATCTTCCAGCCACCATTGATTTCATCCTTCAGAACACGGGACAAAAGCAGTTGTACTATGTCGGCTACTCCCAGGGCAGTACTATTGGTATGTTGAGTAAAATCCGATCATATTGTGTTTTGGGGTAATTAAGAAATTCGTTTAAAAATAATTTCATTGTTAGAAATATCAATTACAAACTTGTCAAATGACACAAGAAATTCAAAGCAGGAGAGAACTCTGGTCTCTTACTTTACTTTCTTTCGGCATTTGGAGCATTTTCGTCAAATCCACAATTGGCCCAAAAAAATCAAAATCCACTTCTCATTGGCTCCGGTTTGTACTGGCAGATACATAACAAGTGCTCTTTGGATGTTTGTATACATCCCACCAACAGTGTTCAAGGTTTGATTCTCTTGACTGTATTTCAAGAAGTAGCTTTGACATGGTTTTCAGAATGAGGAAGAATAGCTAAGTGAGAGAGGAGAGACACTGTTGCTCTTGTTCTGATTGCTCTGATTTTTTAAACTGGCCACAGCCCAGCCCGCTCTGTAGCTGGGGATGCATCTTGTAAGGTGCTGAACTGCCAACCATGTATTTCTTCTTACCCATCTGCCCTCCTTGTCTTTTGAAATTCTTATTAGTGCTTCCTATTATATGCACATGTGTAATCTAAATTTTACCAACTTTACCATCGTAACCTTTAATTCTTCTCAGTTTTCAGTCGAATGGATATGTGTGGTTTTTTTCTCCTGTGTTCCCCACTGTCTTGCCACTCCTTACTCTATGTTCTGTTCTTGAAGTCATTATATAATTAGATGGCTCATGTATAAATGTGACAAAATCTGTAGGTAACAAAATGTTAATGATGTGGTAACAAAAGTTAAGTAAAGCCACTGGAAATTTTACATCTAAAGCAGCAATAATGGCCTTTTTCCTACCAAAGTTGCCTTTGGTCATGGTCTTTGTCATAGCAATAGAAAAGAAACTAGGACAGTGATGCGTGTGTGTGTGTGTGTCTGTGTGTGTGCATGCACACGTACCTGTTTGCCACAGACCACTTAGGGAGTAAGGGTCTACTTGGGAGTGTGATTTCTTTATTAAGGTGGAATCTTAATAATTTTAATTTGCATTTGTCAACTCACTAGAGATTTTGAACTTTTTATCTATTGATGATCCTAGTCTACATAGTTTGCGATTTATCTATTTGTTTTGTTATTTATTTATCAGGTCTTTGTAGGTTTTTCATTTATTAAGTTTTTCTAAGGTCTTTACTACTACAAGTTTTTCTTTACTTCCTTGTTTAGATTTATTCCTAAGTAATTAAATGCTTTGGAGCTGGTTTGAATGGGATTTTTTTTTTCACCCTGATTTTCTTTTCATTGTGTTCATAACTGGCATATAGGAAAACTGATAACTGTGCTTATTAGTTTTGTTTCTTGTTTTTCCAGAAAATGTTTATTAGTACCGAGAGTGTTCTGGTTGAGTTTTTACAGTCTCTCATGTTGCAGTAAGAAGAACGCTTGTTTGTTTCTCAGCTGCTGGCAGCTCAGACCCAAAAATAATCACACAAAACCTGTATTAATTAAAACACTGCTTGGTCCCTTAGCTCTAGCATTTTATTGAATAACACTTATATTTTAATTTAACCCATTTCTAGTAATCTATGTATTGCCATGTGGCTGTGACTTACCAGGTAAAGCTCTGGCATCTGTCTCCAGCAGGGCTCCATAGTTTCTCTTTAACTCCTCCTCCTCTCTCCCAGCATTCCCTGCCTACCTCTGTTCCCCTATAGCTCTGCTATAGGCCCAAAGCAGTTCCTTTATTAACCAATGGTATTCATAACATAAAGAGGAGAATACCATATCACTCATATAGAAGATTGTACTATCTGCAATTATGTATAATTTGATTACATCTTTATATTACTTTAATGTGGAGGGCCGGACCACATTCTCCATTGCTTCTAGGAACAAAGGT